TCTGTTTAATAGAATACCATTCATCAATGAGCTTTTTAAGTTTTGAAATATATACTGGATGGATCTTTAGATTGCTTCTACGTATTTTAATTTCCATTTTTCCAGGCCATTCAACCACTTTAAGGACATTGTCCAATGTCAATGCTGCTCAAATATTGTCATGTTACTCACTTGGAAGAGGAAATAATGAGTCAAAAGATTATAACCAAAGTAAATCCTTGTCATGACATCTTTCTCCTTCTGATTACTGCACAAATTAGACAGCTAATCACTGATGGTAGGTTAGATCTGAAAAGTTAGTTGAGCTATTTCTGATCCCAAATCACTTGCCAAATGGCATGAATATTTGTCTTGGTAGCAAGTTTTAAATCCATGGATGAAATAGGTATAGGATTGATCTTACCAGTGGATACAAATTTGGTTGTGAAGTCAAAAAAGTTCTTTTATTTGGATACTAACGTGATCAAGAATTTTGAAATACAACTGGAATAATACAGTAATAGAGAGAAATGGGATAGTCGTTTTTGTACATTCAAGAGAACTGGGTGAGACAGATAATAAACAATTCCATATACATATATCTATCGCCAAGAAGTGGAAAGAAGGACAAGACGAATGATCAGTACTTTTGTACAGTTGACTTTAAGGTACATTGGATGTGGAATAAAACAAGTATTTTCAAATAAAAATGCTAAAAACGTGGTCTCTGCCATCAGAAGTATCTGTGCATGCTTCAGGTGTAGCTTGGGATCAAAATGTAATTCCTGTTGACGACATAAATACATGTAAACAGGTTCAGATGATGAAATTTGAAACTCATCAACATATAGGCTGTTTGCAACTATTGGAAAAGTTATTTGATGATGGCGTTGATCTTAATGCTATAATTTGTGATACTTAAGGCATAATCCTGAGTCACTTCAAACTTCTGCACGAAGGATTGGGATAATAGTGACCCCACCCAGACTGAAAATGATCTCTGTCTTAAAAACATTTATGAATAAAAATGGGCAAATGGTCATGAAACACATAACAAGGGAGGTCCCATAAAAAATTAGAACTCTATGTGGTGTTCTAAACCTTTTCAGTCAAAAATTAGAGAAACAAAATGATCCATCTTGAGAAAGGTTTTTACACCCCATCCCTTTCTGCTTTTGCAACCTAATGGCCCAGAGGTGGCTAACTTACAATGATTTTGAATACTATTGCCTGCTTACCTGACTTCTTGGACACCTTTCTGGACTGACGGTATTTTGAATTGCTATAAAACGTTCACTCTAATGGATCCCTGGCCTGGCATGGCCAGGTGGTTAGGACGCTCGACTCGCAATCTGCGGGTCGCGGGTTCGCATCCCCATCCCACCAAACATGCTCGCCCTTTCAGCCGTGGGGGCGTTATAATGTGACGGTCAATCCCATTATTCGTTGATAAAAGAGTAGCCCAAGAGTTGGCGGTGGGTGGTGATGACTAGCTGCCTTCCCTCTAGTCTTACACTGCTAAATTAGGGACGGCTAGCGCAGATAGCCCTCGTGTAGCTTTGCGCGAAATTCAAAACAAACAAACAAACTAATGGATCCCAAAATGGTTCTACATCAGTTCAGTATGTCAGTTAGACAGATAATATCTATTATGATATTATATTCTATCTCTTCTCTACTCATTTTAGTCATCTTCTGATTCTTTTCAACCGACTCTGGCATGAGAAAAGATTTCCTGATTTATGGCATGATGCTATTTTTATCCCTTTTCAAAATCCAGGAACAATTCCAAGATTCCTCCTAATTATTGACTTGTTGTTTCATTGGATTGTGGAAAGTATGTTTAATGC